GGGATGAGGTTGGTCGGTAGGAGATGGAGGTGCGGCTTGGGGTGGGAGGAGGGGATAGGTGGGAGGAAGAACAGGTTAGGGAGGCAGGGACGAGTTGGACTGGTTTTGGGATGCGGTGGGGGGAGGGGAGATTTTGAAACTTGTGAAATCCACCCCAAGCCGCACCTCCATCTCCTACCGACCAACCTCATCCCACCCCCTTGACCTGTCCGTCCTCCCTGGACTGACCTATCCCCTTCCTAACTCCCTACCTACACTCACCTTTCCTGGCCCCATCCCCGCCTCTTCGACCTGTTTGTTTCCTCTCTACCTATCCTCTCCTCTATCCCTCTTCTATCCGCCTCCCACTCTCTCCCTATTTATTTCAAAACCCCCTTCCCCTCCCCCTTTTCTGATGAAGGGTCTAGGCCCGAAACGTCAGCCTCTCTGCTCCTATGATGCTGCTTGGCCTGCTGTGTTCATCCAGCCCTGCACCTTGTTGTCTCGTTTTCACAGTCTAAGGGTCTGGGATAGGGCAATGAGGACTGAGATGAGGAGAAATTTCTTCACCCAGAGAGTAAGGGGCCTGTGGAATTCGTTGTCACAGAAACCAGCTAAGGCCAAAACTTGAATGTTTCCAAGAAGGAGGTAGGTATAATTATTAGAGCTAAAGGGATCTAAGGTTATGAGGAGAAAGTGGAAACGGGGGACTGAATGGGATGATCAGCCATGATCATATTGAATGGTAAAGCAGGGCTTGAAGGGTTGAACCTACTTCTGTTTTCTATCTTTTCATACTTTTTAAATGCTCCAGATGATAAAACCTCCAGAAATATGAGGCAGTTGGTTTGTTCGCTGAGTATGGATGGTCATAGAGGGAGAGCGACAGAGGTCATCCTAGCGCAAGCCAACCATAGACACATACTTGAATTCCTAGAGGCCTGGTTCTCCACCCATAATGCAATCAATAAATATTTGGAGTTAGACCCCCATATACAAACCCTTGCGAAAAAGAGCCAGAAATGACACAAACCACCTCAACAGACCTGATCATATAAATACCAAGCGGTGTAGAGCAACGTCACTTCATCAGAGGCTGCACTGATGATGTTGCCTAGCATGGTGATGAAATGTCTGAACTATAACCAGCCAGATCAGCGAGCAAAGCAATAGCCTCACCCACAACTCAAGCTACAAATCTTTGCAAGAACTTTAAACCTCCAGGATAATGTCCAACCAGAAATTGGGGACTCCTCTGTGGTGCCCTGCTTCAGATTTCAAAAAGCCCCATTCCATTCTAAAGTTGCTGATTTGGTTTTGTAGGCATTTGAAGCTCAAATCCATCATGTGGAAAGCAGACCAGGCCGAAAGGGCAAAGTGGGGACAGATGATCTGGATTTCTTCCTCAGGTGTGAGGTCAACAGTTCTGCTGTGAATTCACTGCTAAACTCTTTAAAAAGAGTGGCTGAAGATGTTCATGCCAATAAGGAGGAAAAAGGTAAGCTTCCTCTATCACTGCTCAACAAATTACATAATAAGACTGTAAGATAAAGGAGCAGAATTAGGTCATTTGGCCCATCAATTCTGCTCTGCCATTCGATTATGGCTATATGTTTCTCAACTGTTCTTCTGCCTTCTACTGGTAACTTGTGATCCCTGTACTAATCAAGAACCTATCCATCTCTATCCTAAATACACTCAATGACTTGGCCTCTACAGCTTTCTGTGGCAATGAGTTTCACAGATTCACCACCCTCTAGCTGAAGAAATTCCTCGTTATCCCAGTTCTAAAGGGTCATCCTTTCACTCTGAGGCAGTGCCCTTCGGTCCTAGTTTCTCCTACTGAGTAGAACCAATGTACAGGGGTACCTGGAGAAGGTGGAAGGATGGTACTAAGTCATGATGGTCTTTAGGAGAGCTAGTGTCAATAAGATGGACTGAATGGCCTCCTTCCCCACCTTAACACTTCTGAGATAGAGTGGAGTGTTCTCCCAGGGAAATGGTACAGGTGTAGGGTGAGCACATGAGAGACAGCTGCAAGCCCAGAATGGCCTGCTATTGATATAACACTGTAGGCAGCCGTTGGATTCATCTTCCAACCTGTGACACTTTTATTGGCAATCAGCTCTACTCCATACTAACTTGACAAAGCTGTAGTTGATACCATGAGTGGGCAAAGACCCTGATTCCAGATACAGTGGGCAACACGTTTAAAATGGACCACTCCAACTGGGGAGTCAGATCCAGATGAAGTGTGTGGAGAACACAGTGTGACCTTTACCTCATGTTTTACCGAGACTAGATATTTTATTCAGAAATTGCCGGAGAAACTCGGCAGCTCTGGCAGCATCTGTGGAAAAAGAGGGAGACATATTTCAAGTCTTGAGATCGTTCTTCCGAACTGGAGAACTTCAGAGACTGAAGAAAGATTACTGGACTGGAAACATAACGGTGTTTCTCTCTCCACAGATGCTGACAGACTTGCTGAGTTTCTCCAGCACTTTCTGCGTTTGTTTCAGATCTCCAGCGTCCATAGTTCTTTGGTTTATTTTTGGGTTTCATTCAGACTATCGAGGAAGAATGTCCAGGGAAGCGAGGAACTGCAAAAAAAACCCTCGTGAACGATTAAATCAACCTAATGCTAAACATGTTTATAAACCTCAAATCTCTCTCTTCCAGTCCCTTGGTTTCCCAGAAAAATACAGGATCTTGACAGGTGCCATCACCTGATTACCAAATTCGAACCAGATCTGGATCAAGCTCACCCGGTGAGTGGGTTACTGATTTGGAGCCGTGTGGACTGGAGATTCAGATTGACCAACATTAATACAGATCTCACTTGGTGGGGACGTGATAATCATTGTGTCTTTTCGTCTTCCACTTAAAGGGTTACCAGGACCTGGAGTACAGGGAACGCAGGTCACATGTCGCCAGACTCGCGTTTCATTATAAACAGTAAGTCTCCCATTTTCCTGGAGCGGGTGGTGATCTGTAACAGATATTTAGAGAAATTTGTCCAAAATAAAGAAATCTACAGTGCGTTTTATTTTTACTAGATGAGGCTTTATGAGCTGTAAATTCGTTAAAGTGAACACTTCGAACGAATCTTTGATTTCGGATTGCGAACTGATATTTTAAGGTAAAATTTGACGTGTCTTTTTCGGTAGGGGGGAGTCGTTACCGAGGGTGGAATACACAACAGAAGAGAGAGCAACTTGGTAAGAACCTTTACGTTTGTGGTGTGCTGTCGTTCCTACCGGGGCTTTTATGCCACAGGGTCACGGCTGGAGATGAGATTACAACGATAATGTCGCAGAATTAGCAGCATAGACAATCGTCAGTTCGAACAAACCACGGGGTAGTCAATAGATGTGGGCAATAGTTTGACTGGCGCCAGAAAGACACTTGTAAAAAGCTGCTGAATGCTTATTAGACCGGTGCAGATACGATGGGCCGAATGGCCCCTTTTTGCACAGTGACAATTCTGGGATCCTACAAGTCCCAATGGTTTCAGTCATATTGTCCAAGAATCTGCAGTCCTAAGGGTGCTTGGATCTGCCCATAAGGGACAAGACAAGGAAATTTGGAGCCTATTCAATGAGGTCACCTCTGATCTGTACCTCAACTTCATTGACCCACTTTATGCTTTACTTAACGTTCTGGCCATTTGCGATGGCAAAATAAATAAAACACATTGTTAGTGGACAAAAACCCACCATTCTCAATCTTCAAAACGACAATTGATGTCTAGCATTTTGTGGGAGAAAGTTCCAAAGTCAGTGTTCTGTGTAGTTGTGTACATTGTGTCTGGCTTCCAATGATATCATTGGTTTGTTTGAAAAGATCAGTAAAACAGATGTATCAGTTTTAATAAGAGAACTCAGAAACTTACCAGAATGAAAGGAAATGGGAAATACGTCAGCCTTTTCAACGTTACCTATTCCCCAAGTGCAAAATAATTTTGTTTTGATCTTATATAGCAATGTAGAAACATCATTCCAGAATTTGCACAAAAGAAACAGCTCAGACAGGTTCTCAAATCAAACTCAGACAATCTGCTCTCAATTTCAATCAAATAAACTCTGCAAATGATAGGTTTTGTTATTGTTTAAAGTAGTAATGCTGAACCTATAGTTTCCCTGTTAATGCTTTGACCAATCAAAGTTGAAGTGCCTACCAATCTGCAGCTTTTTCTCCTGGAATACAAATTGTTGTGATTGTTTGAAATTTGGCATTCTTGCATTGGTCCTGATGAGTGTGAGACAAGAAAAAAACTTTAGCAACATGTCTCTCTTTCCAGCAATATTCAAAAGTTGAAATTCTGAAATGAATAAATTGTTGAAATTGATAGCAGCCCCATCAATATCTAAAAGGTTATAGATTTTAATAGGAAATGCCTAGGATATTGGCCTCCACCCGATCATAACCTGGACTCTGTTTGGATATTGATGGCACCCTGTACATTTCTCATCCTTTTGTATTATTTCTTGTATTTCTTTAATACATTTCAAGAATTTTTCACTGTTTGTAAAGTGAGACATCCAGTGGCTGTGAAAGATGCTAAATAAACATAAATCTCCTTTTTGTAATATAATTTTGGATTAGAGAGGCTCCATTATTTTGGTCTTTACTTTGAGAGGTTCAGACTACAAGAGTAAAGAGCACCAGCTGCAACGTTTTTTGGTAAGACCAAACCTGGAAAACTATGTGCAGTTTTTGGTCTCCATACCTAAGCAAGTATACTCTTGCCTTAGATCAGGTGTCACAATATATCACTGATTTCTAGAATGTGAAGATTGTCCCATCAAGAGAGACTGAGTAGAATGAGCTTAAGTTCTTCAGGAAGAATTGAGAAGAATGAAAGATGATCTCATTGAAACATTTGATTCTGAGAGTGGATAACTGTATAGGTGTTGAGAAGTTGGCTCCCTCTAGAGGCACTCAATAACTGGAATTAAAGTCTCAGGTAAAGAGGTCAGTCATTTAGGAATGAACTGGGGAGAAATGATGTGCGAGCCAATTTATCACATGAGGGTTCTGAGTGCCTGGAATGTGCTGCCAGAGGAGGTGGTGGAAGCAGACACAATATCAGCATTCAAGAAGCACCTGGACAAATACATGAATGTGAAGGGAATAGAAGGATATGGGTCCTGTAAGTGAAGATAATTTTAGTATGGAAGGGCAAAATGTGTTGGTGCAGGCTTGGAGAGCCAAAGGGCCTGTTACTCTGCTGTTGTGTTCTTTGTTTCTTGTTCTAAATGTCTTCCGTCAGAGAGTAATGGATCAGTAGAATGCTCTACCCAGGTATATATATTCAGTCACTGAATATGTTCAAGGTTGCAGAGCACTAGATTTTTGGACTCTACAGGAATCAATGAGATCAGGCAGAAAAGTGGAGTTGATCGGCTATGATTCTACTGAAGAGTAGGCTGGAGGGATTGAGTGGCCCACTACACTTCCTAATCCTTTTTTTTTATTATCAAGCCTCTGTGGTGTGAAGCTGGAAATCTGTCCATTTAATTGCAATTTATTTACGGCTCCATTTCTCAATGGAAATTTTTATCCACTGATGTAATTGCCACAAGTTCACCCTGTTTTGTTCTTGAGTCCAGACGGAGACATGCTAGTGAATTTCTCACTTCTTGACTAAGAAATGGGACAATGTAATTGCAGACGTGTTACTGGATGAGAAATTCTGAAAACACAAGTTTAAACTCATGTGACAGTTTGAAAATTTGGATTCAGTTTAAAAGCTTGAAACGTAAAGTGAGGAAATGTAACCAGAAACTTTTCATTAATGCCTTTAATGGAAGGAAGCCTACTTTCTTCACTCGATTTGGGCCCATTTGTGATTTCAGTGCCACATCAACATGGTTTACTCTTCAATGCCATCTGTAAGATCCTCACAAGTTACTCAGAGAAATCAAGGATGTGCAATGATTGTTGGCCTTGCCAACCATGCTCACATCCTGAGGATGAATCAAAATACTCATGCTAATGTGTACGCTTGCTATGCCAGGAAGGAGGTCTACACAAAGTTGTCCACATTGTACCCAAGTCATGCCTGCAAGCAATTTCTGGATGCCTTCAATGTCCTGGAGAAACACTGTGGTTACCGGGCTGACAACATCCCTCAGCTGCAGGATGTCTCCAATTTCTTGAAAGGCAAGTATTCTATCCTGTCTGCTGTTGTAGAGGAATAACATTAATTCAACACCCAGACCCAACCTGACTTTATTCTCTCCATTTTCTAGAGAGGACAGGTTTTTGCCTGCGTCCGACTGCAGGTCTCCTGTCACCCAGGGATTTTTTAGCCAGCTTGGCATTCCGAGTCTTTCAATGCACTCAGTACATCCGTCATTCATCATCACCGATGCATTCTCCTGAACCGTAAGTCTAACAGATACATGTGTGTGTTGTCATGTGAGTGTAAGTACAGGTCTGTGTACCTTCATTTATGCATGTGCATTTGTGCCCTGTGCATGTGTAAGTGCATGGTTTTTATAATAATCAATAATGATTTCACAGTCACCATTAGACCAGCTTCTTAAAAGAGTGTGTGTGCGAGACAGAACATTAACTTATGTTACTCCCTTGTCGATTATTTCTTTCAAACATATGTTTTAAAACGTTAAAGGAATGACACTAATGAAAAATGGAAGATTGAGTATGGTAAGAAAGTAAGATAGATACAAGTTGTTGTTAATTTTCTATTATTTTGACTAATTGCATGAGGTGGTGCATACTAATTAGAGTTTCACTTGAGCACATATAAAGTTACACTTACTGACACTGTGATATGTCTGTGTTAGGAGGTATATGCTTGCACGGTTTCACTCTGAATAAATATAAGATTGAATAAAGGTTGACTCCAATACTGTTCTTTACCAAATGGCCCTTCAAATTAAAACAGCGCTTTCTTTGCTATATGCAGATATTCTAATGCAGAAATTAAAACTCTGTCTTACATTAACCAATTTATGATTTGAAATTTATTCATCAGCAAAAGAACAAATTTTAGGTGAATCAGACGAGCCTTGCCCAAATCCAATGTGCGATTCATTACCCAATGCAAAATTGAGGAATATTGAACTGGTAATTTTTAGAAGTGCCTTTTTTAAAAAAAAATTATGGTTTTTTATTATGACCATGAGACCATAAGAAATATGAACAAGGTAGGCCATTCAGACCCTCGAGCTACTCGCTATTCAATAGGATCATGGCTGATTCGACATTCCTCACATCCACTTTCCTGCCCTTTCCCTGTAACCTTTGATTCCCCAACTGAACAAGAATCTATCTATTTCAGCCTTAAATATACACAAGGTGTCTATCCCCGCAGCTCACTGCAAAGAGTTCCAAAGACTCACAACCTTCTGAGAGAAGAAATTCCCCCTCATCTCAATCTTAAATTGGCAACTCTTTGTTCTGAGACAATATCCTCTGGTCCTGGACACTCTCATGAGGAGAAACATCCTCTCAACATTTACCCTGTCAAGCCCCTTAAGAATCTTATACATTCTAATGAGATCACCTCTCATTCTTCTGAACTCCAGTGAGTAGAATCCCAACCTGTTTAACCTTTGCTCATAAGACAATCCCTCCATACCAAGGATTACACTAGTGAACTTTTGCTGAACTGCCTCTAATGAAATAACATCTTTTTCTTAAATAAGGGGAACAAAACTGCTCACAGTATTCCAGATATCATCTGACCAGCACCTTGTACAATTGCACTAAAACTTCCCTACTCTTATACTCTAACTCCCTTGAAATAAGGGTCAACATTCCATTAGCCTTCCTGATTACCTGATGCCCCTGTGTGTAGCTTTCTGTGTTTCATGCACAAGTCTACCCAGCCCTTTTGTGATGCAGCTTTCTGCTGCTTATCTCCATTTAAATAATACGCACTATTTTCTCTGGTTCAGCACCACAAGACTGTGCCTCTAATGAACAGCAGCCTTGATGGGCAAATAGCCAGGGCTGCAACATTCTTTTATGGTACAACAACTAGCTTTGTCATGAAACTTGGTCAGTCGGGAGTGAGTGGTCAGTCAGAACTGAGTGTTCACACATCAGGAACTGTTTATAAAAGAGCTTTAAATTATTAATGTCCTTGTCATCTTTCCTCACAGGGACTGCTGTCATGAGTTATTGGGACACATTCCTATGTTGGCAGACAAACAGTTTGCACAATTCTCACAGGTAAAACTCACCTCTCACTGGTATTTTATACTTTGTTTAAGGTTTTAATGACCTTAATGTCTTACATAAAGTTCACACCCTGTCACTCCTCTCCTAGGGATTTTGGTTTCTGTGTGATCTTTACATTAAATAATTTAGGAGCAGATTCATTAACCGGTTTTCTTTTTTCTTGTGTGGCTAAGAAGGACACAGGAAACAGTTTGGTACTAAAACAACAATTTGCATTTACATAGCACTTTCATTTTAGCAAAACATCGCATGACATTTCACAAAGCGATTAGCAGACAAAAATTAACATCAAATCAAAGTGTACTCGGGGAAGTGACCAAAAGTTTGGTCAAAGAGAAGCTTTAGGTAGCATCATAAAGGAAGAGAGAGAGGTAGAGAGAGAGAAAGAGGTCTAGGGAAGGAGTAGAAATAATTTGCAGTGTTGTGGGGCTGAAGGAGATTGTACAGAGAGGGAGGGGTGAGGTTAGTGAGGCTGTTGAAGGATTTGAAAACAAAGATGAGAAATTTAAAATCACCACATTGGTGAAGCACATGGAGAAAGTGATCTTCGACAGATAACAAGAATGTGTGACTCCATCTCATTTAGATGATGCTCGTGGCTTAATACAAGCATTCTAGCCACTGAACCAGAAACATTTGGTTCAAGCCGCACTCCAACAATTTAATTGCATTATCCAGGCTGGCATTTTCGAATGTCAGGAATGCTGCCCTGTCAGCAATTTTGCTACTGAGAGGTCCTGCACGTGACAATTAGCATTAATTAGGCATTAACCCCTGAGTGTAGAAGTCACTGCCAGGCATGGAGTTTGGTGGGCCACACGGCAGTAAAGAAAATTACAGGGGCAGTTGCCTGTCAGGGATTGTGTTTCAATTGAGATGTTGAACTGAGGCCCTGTCTGCTCTCTCAGTCAGATCTCAAAGATGCTAAAATGCTGTTCAAGAAAAGGTAAGGGAGCTCTCTTTGCCTCCATGTCAACAGTTAAACCTTAGCCAAGTCACTGAAGCAAACAATATTGTCATTTATCTCATTGCAGCTTGCAAGAGTTCACAATGTGGAAGCCAACTGATGCCTTTATTACAACACTTCAAAAGTATTGCGAAGGCTTTGACCTAACTAAGGATGTAAATGTTGCTATATAAATGCAAGTTTAGGTGTTTACATGCATCTCCCCTGACAATATATTAACTCTATTTCTAAAAAGTTAATTCATGGGGTGAGTGTGCCAGTGGCTAGACCAGCATTTTATTACCCATCCCTAATTGACCAGACATTAGTTCAAAGTCAACCATATTGCTGTGAGTCTGGAGTCAAGTGTAAGTCAGAGTGGGTAAGGATGGCAGATTTCCTTCCCTAAAGCACATTAAGAGAACCAAATTTTATTCCCCAAAATATCAACAGTGGTTTCATGGTCATCATTAGACTCTTAAGTCCAGATTTTTATTGGATTCAGATTCCACTATGGAACTCTAAACTGAGTCTCCGGGTTTATATAAAATAAAGAACCGCAGATGCTGGAAATCTGAACCAAAACCAGAAATTGCTAGAGAAACACAGTACATCTGGCAGCATCTGTGGAGAGAGTCTGGTGACCTTTCCTTAGCACCTGTTCAGCAATGTTACACAGTATGTGTTAACTGCATTGCACTTCATTATAGATGATTAGGAATGGAACTGTAAGACCTAACAATTCTTCAACTAGCAGAGATGATCAGTAAGACAGTACTGGCTTCACGCCCTGAGGGTTGAAGCAAAGTGTATTCTCTATATTCTCTAACGTAAGTGGTCTCACTTTGTTCCACTCCCAGAGAAAAAAACAGAATCTTCCAAATGGCTAACAGGGAGCAGGAGTACATTAGAACAGGATGTCTATTTATTTCTGTGACTCCTTCTGATCTGAACCAAGGTCCCACTGGCAAAGCAACATAAATACACGTGGATGCATTCCCATAGAATTCCTGCGTCTGTTGAGAAGTTGGGATAAGGAGGGTCAGGGATCAATCACAGCAGCTTTCTGAATCCAATCATGATGTAAACTACCTCCAGTGAAATGGAACACAAGCATTCTTTTTCTCATTCTAGCTGAAGGTCAACTGCATTCCCTTCCAGTCATTACAGTTTAAATACCCAAGGTATATGTGATCTTTGATTTGGCAACATTTGTAGAATGTGTTTTTGATGGAAATTCTCCCATTGTTCGCAATAAATGCTTACTGGATATGAGTATCAACATAATTTATTATCCATCCAGGTTGACTTGTGATGGTGTTGATGGGCCTTCTAGTGCTTTTCATACAACTGAGTGAGTTGTAAGGCCACTTCAAGTGATAATGGTGTGTTGGTAATGTCACTGGGCTAGCAATCATCAGGCCTGGTAATGCTGTGGGTTTAAATCCCACCATGATAGCTGCTAAAATGTGAAATAGATCGTAGAATCCCTACAGCATGGAAACAGGCCCTTCGGCCCAACAAGTCCACACCGACCCTCAGAGCATCCCACCCAGACCCATCCCCCTATAAGCCACCTAACCTACACATTCCTGAACACTATGGGCAATTTAGCATTACCAATCCACCTAGCCTGCACATCTTTGGACTGTGGGTGGAAACCAGAGCGCCCAAAGGAAACCCATGCAGACATGGGGAAAATGTGCAAACTCCACACAGACAGTTGCCCAAGGGTGGAATCAAACCCGGGTTCCTGGCGCTGTGAGACAGCAGTGCTAACCACTGAGCGATCGTGCTGCTAATAAATAAAAGTTGATCTTAGTAATGGTGACTATGACAAATATTATTGATCATCATTTAAAAAAAAAACTTTTTCATGAATGTCCTTTAGAGAAGGAAATCTGCAGCCCTTGCTTGGTCTGACCTATGTGTGGCTCCAGATCCATCACAATGTGGTTGACTCTTACTCATCTTTTGCCATTCAGTGCAAGAGTGATTGGAGCTGGATAATAAATACAGGCCCTATAAGTGATGCCTATATCCCAATAATGAACTTCAGATTGCAGCCAAGAATCAATAACAATTATTGTGGCACTAGAGTCAATTATTGGCTTGGACTGAACAAGGACATTGAAATTGTTTCCTTAAACAAAATTTGTGAACCGGATATGTTTTTCTTACAACAATCCAGTAGCTTCATGGTCACCTTTACTGGGACAGGATGTTTCTAAAACTGAATTCAAAACAGGATTTGAACTTGTGTTCACAAGATGATAATTCCAGATCTCTGAATTAGAAATTAGGTAACATGATCCATACATTGCTGTTCCCCATTAATATGATCACCTTTACTGAGACAGGATGTTTTTAAAAATGAATTCAAAATAGGATTTGAACTTGTGTTCACAAGATGATTATTCCAGGTCTCTGAATTAGAAATTAGGTAACATGATCCATACATTGCTGTTCCGCATTAATATGGCCTCATGTATTCAGGTCTAGTCCTAGTGGGTGGGAAGCAGTGGAGATATGTTGCCAAACTACTTTTGCCCAATTATCCTCATCTTCTCCCAGATCTAACCATAATCAGAGTGAATAGGAGAGGAAGATAAACTGTACAACTTCAGTGCTTTGAACAAAATGCACAGCAGGAAGTTTAAGTGCACCAGAGCTTTAGAATAATCCAATGTTAATCTGAACTTCTGCTTTTTCATGCATATTTAGGAACTTGGCCTTGCTTCATTAGGAGCTTCGGATGAGGATATTGAAAAACTATCAACAGTGAGTAATTAAGAAACAGAATTGATCATGTAGAATGAAGGTAAAGGTGAAGTTGTCATAGTCCCACCAGATCATAGGGCTGCTCTCTCATTAGTGAGAGAGAGAGAGATAACTGGTGGTGGTTTAACCTGAGGGTTATCACATCTCAGGAGAGGGGCAGGATTAAGAACAAGAATTGTTCATGGTAACCTCAGCCAGTGTGAGATTGAACCCAATCTGTACCACAACCAATCCTGTTTTCACACTAACTCTTCTGTTAAAATCAAGGTGACTAACTAAGCAAAACAAGTCCCAATTTGCATCTATTGGGGAATGAATATCACTAATGTATAGTTTGTAATGTTTAGTAATGTATAATATATTTTTGTAATGTCTAGTTTCCGAATTTGTTTCAATATTGCTGTTGACCTTACGCTAAAGAGTTGGAACTATGTATCTAAAATAACTTCTTCTTTAGAATTTAGACTACAATCTGCTTTACAATTAATATTATCAGTACAGTTATGACATTGTTTTTGGAACAATAATAGTGTTGTTGCAATAGCTATTGAAGTGTCTGTTCTAAATTGAGGAGCTTATTAAAACTTCCAAACTGTATTTTACTAAAAATTGGCTAAGTGTCACTTCAGGGAGCTTTGTGGAGGATTTCTCTCTGTGAGCCTTAGTGACTTTTCTCACACAATTTTACACAGCTCACCTCACTATGCACACACCACCCCTCTCTGGTGCCGCACTCACACTATCTGGCACGCACCAGCAGCTGAAATGCTCTTCACCACAAGGACCTTCTGGGATTGCTCAGATGTGCACCATGTTTAAGAGCCAGCTATCCACAAGGTCAAATACAGCTACAACATCAACTTTCATTGAACAGTAGAAAACATAAAACAAAACAAAACAAAAACTATATTTGCCGTCCTTTGTGCTTTTCTAAGACCTTTACATCCCTCCTGACATGTGATGCACTGGATGGTGTATAAACTTTCAGCTTGGTCCTAACCAGTGACATTTTTTTATTAAAAGGTCATTTATTGACTGTGAGTGTTTCTGGGAAACTGAACATTTAATACCTATTCCACAATCTCTAAAATTCTAGATTCGTCTGTTTGCTTTGAACTTAGTAAAATACCAATAAAGGTTCAAATAGTTTATTTTGGGGGAGTTCTATATTTCAGGAAAAATATAAAGATTGCTACTGTCAGCATTACTGTTGAGCACTATTAAAACTACTGTTACTGCATGATATAGTTGAATGTCTAGACAAACAGGATTTACCAAATCCCTTTTCTGGACACAATTGTACTTGTTACAAACAGGGAGCTAGAATTTATCACTTACCCTTTGAAATATTACTTGTAACCACCTATAATTTGGTATAATTTCTAAAGGACCATAGAGTCATACAGCATGGAGACAGATCCTTCAGTTCAACCAGTCCATGCCAAACATAATCCCAAACTAAAATAGTCCCACCTGCCGTCTCCTGGCCTGTATCCCTCCAAACCTTTCCTATTTGTGTATCTATCCAAATGTCTTTTAAATGTTATAATTGTACCCACATCCACCACTTGCTCAGGAAGTTCATTCCACACACGAACCACCCTCTCTGTAAAAAACTTGCCCTCATGTCTTTTTTTAAATTTCTCTCCTCTCACCTTAAAAATGTGCCCCCTAGTCTTTAAATCCCCCATCTTATAGAAAAGACAACTACTATTTACCCTATCTATACCCCTCAATGGAATGGAGTTAAGGTACAGATCAGCTATGATGTAATTGAATAATAGAATCAGTCTGAGAGGACCTAACTATGTGCCTTGAATAATTTGCTGTTTGCATCTATAGCTTTACTGGTTTACGATAGAATTCGGGCTGTGCAAACAGAACGGAGTTCTGAAAGCTTATGGAGCTGGTCTACTTTCCTCATATGGAGAACTTATGGTAAGAACTCAACAGTGCACAAAAGCACAAACAGTAGTAAGTTTTTTCTGCTTTGGGTGCAGAATTACAGGAAGTTCTTCACAAATGCATCTGCAATTTCACTATTCATTCATCCATTCATTCACTTGTGCTCTGCCTGAAGGTAGGTCCTTCACTCATTGTCTGCTGATGCTTCATCTTCAGCCTTTTTCTTGGCAGATTTTGTCGGTTATAGTTTACTGTTGCCTTCCATTCTAAGTGGCAGGTGAGGAGGTAGGTACCAAGTCTACCTCAGCTGGAACAAGAATCTAATCCATAATGTGGCTTTATTCTGAACTACATGTTAGCTGTCTGGCCAACTGAGCAAACTGGCCCCAGGATTTCTTTATAACAAACGAAAAAAAGTTGCCTTTTTAAGATGTCTTGTTCAAAGTCATCAGACAAAGGATAGACAGTGGCATTATGGTCATATCACTGGATCAGTAATCCAAGTAACCTGTGGCTAGAGACCTTTCCTTTACATGTTCAATGCTTGACTTGGCTTCATTGCTCATCTAAGGCATGATGCTGATTGATTACACTACAGTTTTTCTTGTTGATACAGAAATGAATTTTGATGAAAGTCACTTATCAGTAAGTTAAATGTAGGGTTAGCCATGTTTTTAAACATAAAAATGTAAGATGTGAACAATTTAGAAATAAGATCAGATATTTTAGTTGCATTTCAGATTGTCTTAAAAATGAATATAAACCAAACAATTACAGTACATAATTGAATCAGAGATAGTAGGAACTGCAGATGCTGGAGAATCTGAGACAACAAGGTGCAGGGCTGGATGAACACAGCAGGCCAAGCAGCATCATAGGAGCAGAGAGGCTGACGTTTCGGGCCTAGACCCTTCATCAGAAAAGGGGGA